AAAGACTGCAACTATATTCTGTTAAACCGGAATGTGGTAATGTATTCATGTTGCTTCTTGCGCCAGAAATAGGCACCAACATTGCAAGGGACAAGCACCATTAAAATTTTACATCGATTCAAATTTACACATTGAAAGAGGGATTGTCCAACCTGACTGTAATTAATAAATTTCTCACAGTAAATTAAATGAACTGCTCAAGATTCGATAGTACCAAATATCTAAAATTTCATTTATTTTTGATGCAAAAAACCTTATGCATGATAATTATTTTAGTCTAACACCCGCTTGATAAGAAAATGAGATACATCTGGCTACTAGCACACAGTTCAATTTACTACGCGTAAAGATACCACACTATCGAATATGCTTACAGGCGTGTCTTAGTCAAGAAGACACGAGTCTCATCTTGTTCGATGATCCGCTAACGAGTGTAGTTACATAATAGTATGTTTTGATCCAAATCGTAAGTACACCATAGAGAATTGCACGTTGCAGGTGGGCGGGCCTCTCGTGACGGCCGCTGCGCAATCTTGCGCAACCTCGGAACGCATTCAACCCGCTTTTACTCGACACTCGTTTACATGGAATGCTTCAATTACGTAAAACTGTATCAAAATTTGTATTCACGTAGAATTCGCATTCGTGGTACATTCTTGTAACATCGTGGACTCTTACTCACTAGTGATTGATCGAGGTAGTCTGAGGATTTCAAGCCTAGCGTCTTATAGGCACCTATTTCTGCATTCTATCTTTTGGTAATATTCTTGTAAAGACATCGAACGGCGTTATACTTTGTAATTAAATGATCGAGCATTTACAACATTTAATTGCAAAGTATAGGCTAAGCTACCTATATTTTGTTGAATTGAAGCCCTTAAGCAAAATGTTCTTGCATTAAATATTCCGCTATTTACAAAACTAGGTCTACTTATGCAAGGCAAACTTTTACTTTCATCGTAACGGCCGGAATTAGATAAAAAAACGATCTTTTTTGCTCATACTAATTCATTATTTCGAGGCGTTAATTTTTTGTCGACTATCTTATGAAGCAGGTAGTGAATAACGGAGTATATAACGTTTCAAAACAATTAACATCCAATTAGTTTGGAGTTAAACTCCTTGTAAACATGTGTTACACTAATAATTGCTTATTACCTGACATTGACCCTAGAGTGGGTGATGAAATGTAACAACTTTAAATTTTTAGTCACGCATAAGTTGTCAAATAAATTGAAATTAAAAAATCTAAAAATCGTCTTACTGCGGCATGGTATAAATTATATTAGTAAGTAGGCATTTTAGAACAGTGGAATTAGTAATTATTTAAATACAGTTTCATGGCTTTTAATTATTTTTTTGGACCTCAAACGTGATTGAAATAAAAACTTGTGTTCGTTCACTATTACCTCGGGTCTATAGCATTCGAATATTGATATGGGCTGTCACGACAGCTATTTTTCAAACCACGGCTACAATAATGATGAATGTGTGTTTAAACATTTATCCGCATGCTGCGCGGGACTTTCAACTATTGATACAAACGTCCTTGACATTTCGTTACACTTCCCAGCCGCCTCTCCGACTTGCCGCCTCTCGACAGAGAGTCGACCGCCGCACAGACCTTTAGATAGAACCTTCATAATACACGAATCAATTTTATTACACACATTAAAATTCTTTGAAATCTTAAACATAACATTTAGCAAGAGGTCTGAGATTATCACCTTTAAGACACAATATAACTATTGGTTAAAATGGGTTTAAATTAAACTATTAGTTCAATGATTTTTATAATATTTTTGGTAAAATTTTAAAGTGTAAAATAAATAGTACATAAATTTTTACATGCAATACTTAAAACATTGCAAATGAAAAGCTATCGGAAAATTAAAAAATTTTAGATATAAAGTATACTTGGGTAAGAAATCTATAAAGTAAACTTTAACCACAAACTGATCGTAGTTTGAACTATACAAGTAACTTTATTCGAGAGTTCTTTCCTGAGCAGAAGTTTGAATTGATACTTTACTATACCAAGCAGCGAACAAACAAAAGTTTTTTTTAAATATAATTGTTCGCAGTTCAAAGTATATATATATGTCAATAAGCCAAGGTTAATCGGTCTGATATAAAATTACCGGCTTCATAAGTAACAAGCATAGATTACAATCCGCATTGTTTATGCAGGAAATAATTAAAACATTTTTATCATTAGTAAAAAAATGCCATACTATCACGTTTCTTGTTTAGCTACAGCTGTGTTGAAGTTAGTATATGTTACGTTCTATAAATTATTAATATCAATAACAATAATTTGCTGAGAAATTAAAAAACTCGATTGAATGTCTAAGAAAATCAGCGAAAGAAGACATTGATTGACCTCACTCAAATCTTTTCACTGATTTAAGTTCTCAGTGGCAACTGAACTACATACAAAAACACTTTAATACGCGCAAAAAACTATACTTTCCCGTGCAAAAACTTATAATTAGAGAATAATTATTATTATTAATTAACCTTTAATAATCCCGTTACTGTCGAAATGTCACAGTGCAGTAAAAAGGCCGGCGTAACAAGCAACAAGCAAGCTTTCTACAAAAGTAGGTAAGTAAACCTTACAATTATGATGTATGAACAGTTATTATAAAAATATAGTGAACGTCAAACTGTTTGACTTCAAAGAGTCTTGCCAACACAGTTTGTATGCGTATATGTTTTCCTATGTTATTAAAACTATAAACTGATTTATTCTTATACGAAATTTAGTTATAAACAATTTAATTGTCAAATTAAGTCATAAAAAATCGACGAATTAGTGATAAAGATTAACAGGTCTTTCTTAAGAATGACTTGATATCGAGTATTAGTGAACGGCAGACATTAAATGACCATATCAAGGTCGTTCGATATTCTTAATATTTATAACGAAAAATTTTATTTCTTAATATTGGAGAAGGAGAGAAAGTATTAAGATAGAATGTGAATGGCTACAAAGGAAGAGGAAGACAGAAGAAAGTATGAATGGATTGTGTGAAAGAGGATACGCTTAAGAAAGGAGTGGATTCAGATGTGACGGCTGATAGAGATGTATGGAGGAGCAGCATATACTGTGCCGACCCTCTGTAAGGGATAAGGGCAACTGGATGATAATGAGTATTAGAGAAAGAGTATCTTCTCAACGTAAACATAATAATTACGGAAATTCTAAATAAGTAGAGTATAGTGTTGCAGCTCATCATTAATTTTGCTTTTTATTGCATTTAACAAGACACAAAAGAAAGTTAAAAAAAGACGGGGTAAAATGGTAACATACCCCGTCTTTTTTATAACTGTTACTTTTTTTTAAAACGGATATTAACTGCATCGAAAGTTAATTTAAACGTCTAAGGACATTTGAATCGTAAGACAAAATGATTTCCTTAAATGTTTGCAAAAGGCGTACTATGCAACAAAGAAACTCCGTCTATATTTAGCCTGTTGATTGATGGCCTGTAAATAATGTGTTCGAAATTTCAACTGCACTTTGCTTGGTCAATGGAGCAAAACGAATTGACGATCGCGATTCAGGTGTTACTGTTATTTCAGTATTGTTGTGTTATTATTGACGTACAGACAAAATTACTTCGAATGTTTTGTATATAATAAGCACGCGCACAACTTTGACTATACTATCGCTTGACTGTTTGGTCGCACTTTGATTCCTTCGACTATATGGAGGTGCGCGATTTTTAGTTGTGAAACTAAACAGTTGCATTCGCTGTGAAACAACAGACAATCGCATAGTTGTGCGATTGTTTAGTCAAAGGTGTGCGCACGCTCAAAGTCGTATCATTAGTTGGTATTCGATGTACAAATGATTGATGATATTCGATAATATCGCAATCATTTGCAAGATTTGTACAATTTGATTTATAATATACAATCTATATGAGATATTAATTAGCTAAGAAAAGAAATTTAGTTATGTCTTAATTAATCTACGACTTTTGTAAAATGAAGTCTTTTAATCTATACTATTATAATAAAGCGTAAACACACACTTCTTTGTTGCCTAAGATGTCAGCAATTACAGGAGATTTTTGAATAATACTTTTTTAAATAAAAAGCCCTACACTTACGTCACGCTTTAGGCTACATATTTTAACGCCATTAAACTTACGGAGTAAATATTTTGGATAAAAACCCTAATGTGAGAAAGAGACCATAAGTTGCTGCCAACATTAAGGAAGCAAAATTGTCATCATGTCATGTCATTTTAACATTTGTAATTTGACAAATGTAAAAAATAAAATAAAATCCTCATAATTTTATGCGGATGAAATCGCACGAGAATAGCTAGTTAAATTATATTTAACTATGTAATAGTTTAGCAAATCATGTTTTAGTTATCGGAGGTTAGAATTTTAATTATTTATTTCAAGTAATAGTAAAGTCTAATTGCACAAGATTGTTTTCGATCTGATCTAAAGTTCTTTGAGTGAAACTTGCCAAATGTACGACAGATTGCAAAATCCTTTACAAAGATTTGTAATAACATACGTATTTGTTATTATATTTAAAAGATCAACTGTGAAATGTAACTGACAAATAATAACCTACAAAGTCATTAAAACTGCATGATTGTTTGCTTGCAGCATTAAAGATTTCTTATTGACAAATAGCAAATTGAATTTCAAGTAAGGAGATTATTACAATAAGATGGTTAATGCAATATTTCATCGACCTTTACAGTAGCCAGTTAGAATTATTAATTGAATTGACAGTTATTAATAATACTATTGTTGAATTAATAATGTACTTTATACATTTAATTTAATCTTTGTAAACAAAAAGTAAAAAATAGATTAACAAAATTCTCGTAACAAAAAATATTTGAGTTCAACGCTACAATTACGTTTGTGCTAAGACAAAATGGTCGAAATCGAAACCAATTTTATCTGCGTAGATCTTTTAATAAGGATAGTAAAAAAATTTGGATAGTGGATATTGGATAGTACCTCAATGTGAGCGGTAGTGCGCGGTGAGAGCGTGTCGGCTAGCCGTGCATCCGCATCGTGTCTGTCGCCCCACCACCTCACGTCACCAGCTCACCAGCACCAGTACAGCCGGCTGGCCATATCCTGAAAGAAAACAAAGATTTAAAATGTCCGCTATTTGTGAACAATACACGATTTTAGTAAGTTTGAACAATATGTTTGTGGAATATAATTTTATGTGATTTATCTTTTAGAGTATTTTTTATGTTTGTGGAATAAAAATTATTATTTTGATATTAAATATTTCTCGGGAAACAATACAAATGTTAAACTGTTCACTGGTTAAAAATGAAGCGTTATGTTAAATTGAGATCGGCTTCTGTTTTTAAATTAAATGTAGGTATTTAAAAAATCAGACGCTACGTTACTTAATTGTGATGGGACTGATTTAAATTCTACACAGTACTTGTTGCGTCGGTCGTAACGTTAACAATCAAGTGAGTTATTTAATACTGTTCTTTTGGTTAATACGATAATGTGGTTTTAATTTTTTTATAAATGCTTTTCAGTTGGCCTTCATTTGATGGAGTTTACAACCAACATAACCTTATAAATTATTTGAAATATAAAATAATTACACAAGAAACAACAAAAACAAGTAAGTAAATTTAATGGAGAGTAAGACAAAATAATCCCGTTTTGTGGTTTAATTGTATCTTGTTCTAAAACATGGTATTTATTATAATTTTTAAAATAAGACAATTATAGCTAGCGTCGACTTTTGAGGTTATTGTATTACATTACCTTAAATTATTTTATGTACACTTATAATTATCCCTTTAAAAATGTTTTTATAGTATATTTTGAATACCATTTATTGTTTCTGAGTTATTCGGAATACGTAATACGTAGACAAAGAACATAAATTAGTCCCACTTTGTAACGCGCCATGACACCTTATGTGTTATGTTTTGAACTAGTCGTGTTATATCATTATACAATGTTGTAAATTTCAAATGTCATAATGCGAGATATTTAACATACTTTCCAACAAAATATTTAGCGTGAAATTGGAAGAATAAATATAGATTAAATTTAGGAGCCATTTATAAAATTTGTCTAGAGATTATAAATACAACGAAAGATCACAGATAATAAAAAGTTATGAGGTTTTTAGATTTTCTATACCAAGTTTCTATACAAGTAGAGATAAAAAAATCGATTATTCTTTTTAAGGTCTATTAATAATTATCTGTATTGAGAATATTGTTAGGGCGTTCTGTTATTAAAACATATTACATGGAGCTTGAACATATTGGTGAAATGGATCCATAGTAGCTCTGAAAACTTTTTTTATGAGGTTGGAAACAGTACTACTGTATGCAATGTCATATTTGCAGACATTTCTAGAGACTTCTATTGACGTCATCAACTGATGCAGGTATCATAAACATTTTAAAATTGTTATGAGTTATAAGAAAAGGAAATATTTTACGAGCTAGCTGTTGTATTTTGCTATTTTTTTAAATGTAATGTTCCGTGAACAACACTTTTATTCGTTTTGTACATATGTCCGGGTCAATATTGATATGTTTATTTGATTTTTTTATGTTGTATTAGGTTTAAAACAAGTTTGTGATGCGATATTATTTAAATAATTAATATCGAGTAGCTATGAGTATAATGTTTTGATATAATCAATTATCGATTAACATTACGAGTATATTTATAATAATTAAATAATAATAAATAATGTATTATTCAAACAAAGTTAATATAAATTAGATATTGGCTATTAAACGTTTGAGTTAATGGTTTAATCGGATAGTTAAGAGATAGGCGGCTACTGGTCACATTAAATTGATTTTCAAGAAGATATTCACAGAATTTCTTAAATATTTTTCGTGCGTGGAAACTACTCATTGCCTCATGACGTCACAATACAGACGTGACGGTACTGAGAGAGTCATCGCGAAACTCTACACACGATAATATTACCAAATATTTAATATGGTATTAAAACGCATAGCAAAGGATTAAAGAACGAATATCGAAAATTACAAAATAAAGTTTAGTATTACCAGTTATTAACAAACATTGACAGGCATCAGATACTATTGTATTATTATACGATAATAATACACCTGTTTAATAATAATAGTATTCCATTATTTTAATGAAACGCCTCACAAAAAGTCATAAGGTCAAGATTCTTATTGAAAATGTCATGTATCTAATTTATGAGACGGTTTGCGATATCGCGAAATATCAAATCTATTGTGACGAAGAATTGTCGATATTTTGGTCACCTGGTGATTACGTCACTGATGAAATTTGAGCAAAGGTTACTTATGAAACTTATATAACGTGCATTTTGTTTGTAATTTCTTTGTATCTCGCGACTCAATTATTAATTGCAAATCTAATTGTTGATTAGTTTAATATTTGAACAGTTTATTATTGCAAAATTCATGTACACTGCCTAATATTATAAATAGAGTGTGTGGAACGTGAAAGGTATAAGTTTATACTTATGTTTATTTTGTACAAACCTGAATGCAAGTGAAAAAGTCACGTAAATAGATGTAAAAGCAACAAAATGCACATACGAATAGATATTTTGTAAGGCCTTGAAAATTAGAGCTATATTCTAAATAAATCAATGATCTCACTGATACGAGAGTATTAAAATGAATGATAATAGGAACATATTTAGGAACGAGATTTTATTAATGTGACTTGGTTCACCTGATTAAGGTTCGGTTGGCAATGTCTATTTGATAAGTCAAATGCCAAGCGACCGGTTTGTTTAAAGATCGCCCGAAGTCCGCATTAACAAATACGAGATGATTTAATCATTTAGCTATTCACTTGACAATTATTCGTGAACTTTTCGAAAAATTTGAATGTTTCGTTTTTGTTTTAATCAATTTAAATGTGACTGATGTATTAAGTAGTAATTGAATAGGAAAGAATTGAGGAGGGGAATGTAGTCTGCTGTAGAAATATTAATTCAGCAGTTTTAGATGTTTGCTGCCACGTGGCGGATATAATCAGTCTATTGAGATGTAAACGAAAGCGTATCTTAGTTCGACGCTGGGACAATTGTCCGGTGCAAAAAGCTTGTCTCAAGGCGCCGCAGCGGGGTCGTGTGCCTCACGCTGCGGCCGCCGACCTCCAAACAAGCAATAAGCAATAGCGAAACATATATTGTTCAACTACAATGATCAACATTAATAACCGTTTAACATAGTAACCTATTTGATCTTCATTTACAGATTGCTAGAATACGTGCTACACCTGATCATAAAATGTTCTGCGTATGAAAAGAAGAGGAACTAACATAAAAGAATAATTATGGAGGCATTATGGAGAAGGTATGTATATAAGTTGACATTTTGATAAACTAGGATGATATAGCAATAAAGGTAACGAGAGAAGGAATAACTTAAATAAAGTGAGAGTGAAGAGTACTCATAAATTATCCATCTTATGTGAAAATCCTTTGAATTGTTCCATAGGTTCATATACATTTTCAGTCTTAACAGATAACTTGGAAACCAAAACATAAAGTGAAAGGATTACGTATTACTATACTGGTATTTATCAATTATTTTTAGATATATTGTAGTGTGTATTTCAAGGTTTAAACGTAATTTAAGATAGCTCAAACGTATTTTCACGGTTGCTTCCGCCATTGAAAATAATTGAGTTATTGTAGTGGCTGGGACGAATCTTATGTTCCTTCGCACAATTCGATTTTGATTGTTTTATTGAGATACGGCCTCCATGAAATGAGATTAAGGTTGACTGTTTGATCACCTCGATAGCCATCAATATTTCATTTCCGTGTATTATGTTTAACAATAACATCTGTGAATTACATGACAACTATATTCGGAACTCGAAATTCACTTTATTATCTTATTGTGAAACAGTTTTTCCTCCTTAAGCGATCAATTAATGAAGCAGCATTTAAGTCCTGAACTTTAACTATATGTTGAACTAATCTAAAATACATTTGAATATTTGAATGTTGTTATATATCTATAAAATTAAATACACACTACTTTGTGGCATAGGGTGTCAGCAACCACAGCATATTTATAAATATTTTTTTCTTTAATAAAAAGTCATACACTCGCGACAAGCTCTAGGCTATATTTTGGTATTAAACTTAAGGGGCAAATATATTGGAAAAATACCTTAATGTGGGAAAGGGACCACAAGTTGGCAACATTAAGGAAGCAAGGTTATTATCGTAACGATAGTGGTGACAATAAAATAATGTTTTTACAATTTCATGCGGATGAAGCTGCACTGGAACAGCTAGTAGTTTTATAAAACGAAACTATTTGCATTAGTAGTTGGCACAAACGTTACAGACCACTTTATCAATTTATTAAACACTTGATGGTCGCGTGCGACTTTGAATCTAGAACACGGATAAAAGTCTCGATTCATTGTGTGTTGGAAAATGTACTAAGTTCAATAATTGAACTAGACACGGTATGTGCGGAATACCGAGCGTGGGAATGGCGTTAGGCGGCATTTACGAATGTCGCGTTGTGGCTTCTGTTACTTAATTACAAACGGAAGATCAGAGTAAAACAAGTGTTTTAAATAAATATGATGTTACCCTGTAACTATTAAATTTGTTATTGACAGCAATTTAGTTTTTACTTTATAAATTAGCGTACCATTATCTCAGATAGAAATTTATGACCGTATGATCATGTCAGGAGTGATTGCGGTAAACAAAAGTTTATTTATTATAATGTATATCTTACCAAACAACTAGAATTGATCAGATTCAGCGCTTAAGCGATTTTCTATACTAATATTATTAAGAGGAAAGATTTGTATGTATTAAAATAACTCAAACAATATTGGGCGGATTTTAAAAAGTCTATCACCATTAGAAAAGTAATTTATCTATGAGTAACATAGGCTATATGTTTTAATTGCACGCAGGGGAAGTCGCGGGCAACAGCTAGTCATCAATATTCATGCTTATAATTTTTCATAAGTGATTTGAATTCTTTGATAGATTGAAACTTTTTGTATAGCTCCTTATTTTATTAATTCGTTATTTTTTATCAAATACTAGATTTCGATTGCGACTACGTCCGCGTGGTATTGAA